GTAAGGCTGAGAGATATTGAGAAATCCAAGGGCATTAGTAGGTGGATCCTGGGTCCCCACAGTTTTATTTTGATGTGCAGATTACAGCACCACAATTGTCTTTTATTAGCAATTGTTAGAGCTTTGATGGGCAGGGTTCCAAAGAATATCCTACGGGGCACATTCACCCGTGCTTGCTTTTCATTTGAGATATTTTTCAGCATTCACCCCATCTTTGGCCAATAAGAATAAGTTTCACCTATGGTCCTCCTTCTTCAGAAGTCAACATTTTTAGATGTACAAAGTACTCCAACCCTCACATTAAGAGTATCCATTATTTCATTCAGGATTTATTTTAAATATATTCATAAGGAAAAATGAGAAGAAAGGAAATAAAATAAAGGTCAGGTTTTAGCTTTTCCAAAGTGATGGACAAAACAACAGAACAATAGTAGAAGAAATTCCAAGACTACATATATCACCTATCATCCTGTACTTTTATAATTTCCAGTTAAGAAGTCCAAGGATTTTTGTTGCTGATTCTGTCTTATAGAAGTTGACCAATCTGGCAGTTGTATCTTACATGAACACTAGCAATGATCATCATCTTTCATTGCTTGAGGACAGTAGGCTAACTCAGAGAGTATAGACAGGTCCTCAGGCCCTTCCTCTTTCCACAACACCTGCTGTTTAAGGAACCCATCTTGTTTTACCAACGGTATGCTTAGCCTGCTTCAGAGATGTAATCCAAAGTGATTTAAATGTACTCATCCAATTGACCTAAGAACACAGGATCAAATTCTGTGGCCTTATAAGATTGATTAGCTTCTGTTCTCCAAGTTCAAAGATAGGTTTCCAACATTGAATCCACCATTATCTTGTGCAACTGCCTTTTATAAGATTGAGAATTCCTGACTTCAAAAGACAGAGGGTAGGCAGTGAAGTACTAAAGATTCCAAGTACTCAGCAAAAGGAAGCATTTAGACTAGCTTGAGATGAGCTGGTCTCAATATATTTTGTAACATTCCACGCAACTTCTGTGTTCTTTTAAATGAACAACTAGAACAAGGTCATGTATACCTGTTCTAAGACTATTAGAATTAGGAATAGGGTGAGGGCATTCATACTTTCCCCAATACATTTTGACTTTGAACTCTTCACGTACAAAATCCAGAATGTTTCAAATGGTTTTATAACCAGTCATAAATTAAGGAGGCACTTATTACTTTGTGTCAGTTGGACACTTATGTATTTTTTAAAAAAATTGAAAAAGGTTCAGCTAACTTTGGAGATGTGGTGTTCAATATGCAATGTTGGTACATATGAAGTGGTTATATGCTATAACAGCTCATTTTGGGGCAGAAATTTCACTTATTTGTTCCAGAAGACTGAATATCTGGATTATGGAGTGTGATGTAATACTTGAAGTATCAGAGTAGATCTGGGAGATCCAGGTCACCTTCAAACAGGAAGCTCACAGAGTGATTTTGGCTTATTCACTACTAACTCAACTTACCACACAGGATTGCTATGAGATAAATTGGAGGAGAATGTGGTATATATACGACACCTTGAGCTACTAAAGAAAAGGCATAGGATATAAATCTAATAATAATGATGTGCCAAGATGTCCCAGTGAATGTTGTTTCCCACATTCAGATCTGCTGTTTTTGTAATTATTATACACTGGTTTCTTAAAATGATCAGATAACTCTGGTTTATTTGTAAATTGCTTTTGAAAGGAATTGTATTCTTAGGTGATGTGACAGGATAGTTTATTTAACTCTTAAACAGAAGAGTACATATTACTTCCTGCATATGTGCATTGTAAAGATACTGAGCTTGAACTTCAGAAACAATGGAGTTTGCCCCACAGTCATTTGCTTCACAGTCAATCAGCAACCCTACCTTTATATTGAGCTCATTAAACACATCTCCTTTTAAAAATCAAATCAAAGTACTTGTTAACTATTATGCAACACCCTGAACATTTTTTTTCATTTCTTGAGTGTGAGTTGGCTGCCCTTTTGCCTGTGATAATTTCATCTCTATAAAAACAGCTGATAAAAAGAGTCCAATGAGGTAAGACCAGATTAAATGACTGAAAGAGGCAAAGCTAGGAAACGTGACAAGAAGAACAATAATGAGCTGGAGGGAGGGGCCTAAATGCATTTGAGGAAGTGTTTCCTGAAAACCTTTGCAAATGTTCTTTCTTTGAAATACCATAAAATTAGGATCAGAACAAATCTGGAGGACAAGATGCAAAGGCAAAGCCAAAGATCTTGAAGATAAAACAAAGAATTTAAGGGACAACCTGGTTGAATCTCAGATCAATGTAACCCATATATGGAGAAGGGTCCTGATTCACACAAATGGTAGGTTAGCTGGCAGAATTGGTTCCAACCTACACCACTGAAGAAAAAGATGTGCTTGAAGACTTCTCCTTAAAAAAAATAATCTCTACACATCCCAGATTAGGATCGGAGATACAGTTGGTCTAGTATCATTTACTTTTATGTACATGTTCTACAGCTACCAGCATAGATTCTAGGTAGCATTCTGTTTCTCAATTCATATTCCATATTTCCAGTACATGATTATGGTATGGAGATATATATTTTGTATTAGCTCAACTGGTATTTGTGTTTGAAACAGTACTGAAAATTCAACCGAGAATGATAATATAGAACAAACTGGGGACACATTTTTTTTTTTAAAGCTAAAATAAAAAGCAAGATGAAGGATGGAAAATATAGCCGAAATTCACTTTTTCTTCTTAACAGATTGGGGTGGGAGTAAGAAAAAAGAAATGGTGGGAACACAGGAAAGTTAGAGATGAGAGTTAGTAATATCTGGAACTCCTGTAATCATTTCATGAACAAGGCAGGACAATTGCATGATTAAAAAAAAATCAAAGGTAAAGTATATTTCTCATGTAAACAAGTGGGTTTACTGATACCTATTAGCTGATGGAAGTGCTTGTAATCTAAGGACAATGTTTTATACATGAAAATTAACTACTTAAGCCTGGAAGGAAAAGTGGAAGATTAGAACACAAGATGGGGGAAGAGGCTGTAGATTAAAAGTAGAGAGATGACCCACTTTCAAATCAGAGAAAAAGACAGGAATAAGTAAGTATGGTGTGGCAGGAGAAGGAAGAGAAAATAATTGGTAGGTAAATTTACATTGTTTTTCCATTGTTCTCCAGAAGTGTTTGAAGAAAATTGTGAGGCCTTTGTACTTAGAAACTGGTACAGTTTCTAGCATGTGTTTAACTACAAAGAAGAGTGCCAAATGCTGGTGTACTGGCATAATTTGCGCTGCCTCAGTAGCCTATCTTAGTATGAAGGCTTGTGAGTGGTGCCCTCCTGCCACATGCAAAGGCAGTGACTGATGGAAGCTTTAGCCAGGTTTCAAGTTGCCTGACGGGGTGCTAGTATGGTGCTGCTGCACGGCGATCACTTATCACTCAGGCTATTTCTGCCCACTTGTCTAGCACTCTTCCACAAGTACAGGGTAAATTAGGAGAGGTTGTCATCAGGAAAGCTTCCTCCTATTTCATCCTGTGTCCCTCCTCTGCCTCATCCACACTTCAGCCAGGCTATTTTTAGACCTTTTCCAAAATCTAGACAACTTGGCATGGGGTCCGAAATAGCCCGAGTGACAACTCACGGATGTGGGAGAGAGGTTGCTTGCAAGGAGCATCTGAGCACCCTTCTGCTTCACCCCAGGTACCTGAGCTGTGTCTGTGGCCTGTGACTTGGACCACATGAGGAAATAGGCAGAATTTTTGTCCATTTCACCCCAGTTCCACTATATCCCAAACTGGTCAGTGCTACAAGGATATGGTAGTCCCAACCAGCAGCATCTGGAAGCAGCCCACAAAGTGTGCAAATTGCCATTGGTGCAGGCAAAATGGACCCTCACCACACCCCAAGTTTATAAAACCAGTAGAAACTTCAGCTACCAGAAATCTCTTGTCAAGCAAAGCAGCCGAAAACCTGCAATGCATTCGTTTTAGACACGGCTGGCAACACCATGCCAGCCATGTCCAGCTATCTTTCCCATTTTAAATGGGCCTTCTGTGCAGCAGAGGAATGGGTGCCCCTCCAGAGACTGCTAGTCCCCTTTTTAAAAGCATAGGTCTAGTGCACTTTCAGAGGACCACTAAAGACATAGGTTTAAAAAAGAGGTCAAGGGCTTGTCTGTACCCTTGCACATAAGTAGCTGAATGTCAGACATTCTATGGGCAGACGCCTCTGCAAAAACCAAGCCTCTGGCTTCTCCTGCACCCCAAGCCCAGATGGGCATGGCAGGGACTTTCCAGCAACTAGAAGGAGCAGACATGCCCACAACAGCCTCAAGTTGCCAACTGAAGCTAGGCTGTTGTTCCCAGCCCCTGCTGCAACTTTGTCAACAACATGGAGGAGGAATCCAATTAAACAGTCAAGATTTGTGTCAGGAGAAAAGGGAAAAGGCTACTTTAAGATGGAATGTATAGTGTGTGTGTGTGCATGCACACATGCCTGTTGCACCCAACAATTCACTTTCCATAATAGATTTGCATTTTTTCCCAAATGTAATGAATCTTGGTGAGGTTTTTTTGGCAAAGATTGTATATTTCAAATTAGAAACGCCCTTTAGTGACTAGTTACTAATTAACCTCCCGAGCAAAACAAAAGCAGCTGCAGAAAAATAAATAAAGGCAAATAAGTGAGAACATTTCACATGGCTGCTTTAAAAATAAACTTCCCTTTAAATAACTCCTGTTTGGAAAGAAATATAACATTTATTTCTAGGCATTTTTCCTTTGTTTTGTGTATTCCCTCCACTCTGTGCTTTGGATTGGGGTGGGTGGACTTCCCTGACGTGATGATCAGAATACGCCGACAGCTTATTTGGGGAAGTGATGGATTAAATTACAAGTTCCCACAGGAAGCTATTAATAAAACCTTAGTTCTGTTTCCTAGGACAGATAAAGATGGCTATTTAATATGTAAGAAATTGGTAAAGACATGCATGGTACCTCCCATTTGCTCCTATGGAGTGACAATCGATCAAGAGAAAAGAGAAGGTGACTTGGAAGGCGAAGAGAGGCAGAAGAGGGAAAAGTCAGAAGCAGTTGCATGCATCTGAAATGATCATTTGTGTGTCACAACAAATGGAGGAAATGTATCATAAAATGAGGACATCGGAGAGTACAGACACCCATAAAACTTGCACTTGCTGATTGTAATGTATAGATACAACTTCAGGTATAATTACAGTTTATCTCATAGTAATGGCCAGGTGATCCATGTAATTGCTCAGACTGCTGTCCAGAGCTGATACAGAACTTCAAGGCTCTTTCTGCTCCCCTTCCTTCATACGGTGCTGTTCTTTATCTTTCAAGCAGACTTGGATTGGACAGCCTTCATACAGAGGACTGTTCTTGGTAAGTAGACATGTAACCATAGTTCCAGGTGCCTTCCTTGGACCATGCCTGAGCAGAGTTAGTGGCACCAGACATTATATCATTGGTGGTGTCCCATGTGCTCTATTATCTTCTCCAGCACATGGGAGCAGTAGGGATGTTTTAATGTCTTATACATCACTGCAGCACAAGAAGTTAATTCATTTTTCCCAGTAAATTATTAGACTTGCTATTGCAAAATACCAGAAAATTGAAATGTACTTTCTTTGAATCAGGAATATTCAAAACTAGAAAATATAACACAATATCAAAATCTCTGTGTGTGTGTGTGTGTGTACACATGCACTCATTCAATTTTGGTCTTTATTTTTTAGCTATATAGCAAAATAGATCCTAATAGATTACCTTCAATTTTACAAATATCTAGGTAGAAATACTGAATAATACTTAAAGTTTAAAAATGTAAGTATTTTTCCTGAAGGTTACTTTTACATTCTTATGTTTGCCAAACATTTCATTTTCTTTTTTCTTTTTGTTTGCTTTTCCTTCTCCCCATTCCCTTATTCTGTTTGTTATTCCCAGGGTACTGCTGATGCTCCATTTGTTTCAATAAAAAGCCCCCCCCCCCTTTCCCATGCACAGTAGCAATCAGATTTCTGGGAATCCATAGACAATGAAATCAATGCTAATAATTAAAAGATTGCTATCACGCTATGAGTTCATGATGAATCATTTCCTGTTACATGTAACTATAATTAAAAATAACCATGTTACTTCTGCTAATTTTTTTAACACAGAAATGGGCATTATTTCTCAGCACCATTCAGTTCCCACATGTTCAGCTAGCTTTGAAACAGAGCAGATTTTTTAAAAACAAGCTGCAAGCTTGGGGGGTGGGGGTGGGGGAAAAGGGTCGCACTTAAGTTAAGGGTAAAACCTCTTTACCTCAACAAGGCTTACTTCTCAGTAAACATGCATAAAATTAGACTTTTAATTGAGTGATTGATTGATTGATTGATTGATTGATTGATTATAGGCCAGCAAGTCATTTTCGACTTCTAGTGATCACATAGATAGATTTTCTCCATGACGCTCTATCCCTAGCCTGTTGTTTCAAGTCTCCCAATGGTGCACTCATCACCCCCATAACTGAGTCCATCCACCTTGCTGCTGGTTGTTCTCTTCTCTTTCCCTCCACTTTCCCCAACATTAGAGCCTTCTCCAGAGAGCTGTTATTCTTCATCCACATTGTGAGATCCATAGAGAAATAGTGAAATGGAAGGGTATCAAAACTGAAAACCACTGAAAAGCAAAATTTGCAAAATATCTATAAGAATATATGGACCTTGTTAGTCCCAGAGGCCCACTTGTACTTCCTGTCAGTTCCCTAGCTTTATGAGCAGAAAAGCTGGCTATAGGAATGTTATGCAATGATACATTCTGAATTTCTGTATTTTAAAACTGGATAAACCTGACATTTCTCTAGACTCTTTGTCCTGAGAAAGAGTAAATAACAAAGAGGAGATGAGAGAAAAGATTAAAACAGCTGCATTTTAGAGTTCTTAAAATGCTTCCTTGTCACTTTAGTCTTACATATGATTAATAGGAAGGAGCAGACTTGGCTCAATTACATTTTGTGTGGATGAGAACAGTAATCAGTAGCTCTGGAAAAGGCTCAGTAGGATCTGAATTCAAATTGCTGCTTGGATCCAGACTGAAATTAGGAAAAACGGAGCTCTGCTCTCCCATAATTTAGCATGCCGCCAACAACAGTAGCCATAACACTTTGGTTTTCAGCAGAATGTAATGTGGCTTAGAGAAGAGATGAAGGTGAAGCATGCTATATTTCACAATGATTAGTGCCTAAATATTCAAGCTCTGTTTCTAAGTGTTCATAATTTTGTTGCATGGCATAGAATGAGGTGACATTTGCAGTGATCGTAATCCTGTGCCAAGCAGACCAATAATTTTGAGGGCTTTTTGTGCAAAGAGAGGAGAGGCCTATAAGAAATAATCTTTTTTACTAAACGCAAGGGAGCCATGTTGCTATCTTTTTCATTTACTCAAATCTCTGGAAAAGTTCTTCATGGAGATCAGAAAGATTTGGGACCCACTTGCTCCAGCCTGGGAAAATGATTGCCTGTTGCAAATTACCCTACTATTTTTCAGGATCTGGAATTTGACTGGATCCAATATATGTAACTGATGTTTACTTGTAGAATTGTAAAGTTGAAAGGGTCTGTTTAGGCCACTGACCTCTTATTTCATGGGAGGAATCCAAATCAGAGCATCCTGAAAGATGACTTGCATATGCAGCGAAGGAGAGCCCATCACCCATTTTGGTAGCTGGTTTCATAAGTCAGTGCCTCTAACTTCAAAAAGATTATTACAAGCAATTATTCTTACCTGAATAATTTAGGCAGTTTAATAATTAATAGGCAGGAGCTTCATATATTTAGATTTGTAACAAGCTAATGCACCAAGCAAAACTTTATGATATTTTCTTAATTTGGTTACTTACAGACATATTTCTCTGTATAGTGGAATTCACAATATTAGGTGTAATAAGAATAAACCAAAGACTGTGACTCCTACCACCAGCTTATGATTAGCAGGCCAATAGGATTATGCTTAGACAGGAAGGAAGGAAGGAAGGAAGGAAGGAAGGAAGGAAGGAAGGAAGGAAGGAAGGAAGGAAGGAAGGAAGGAAGGAAGGAGGAAAGGAAGGAAGGCAGGCAGGCAGGCAGGCAGGCAGGCAGGCAGGCAGGCAGGCAGGCAGGCAACCAGCTAGCCTGGTAGGTGGTTATGTTTGCAATATCTCCTCAGTGCCATTTTTTCTTTATTCTAGGCACAGAAACAAAACTGTGCTGTCCATTCTTTCATGTTTGACTGTGTCAGCAGTAAAAGCATTTTCCCCCTCAGACAATGTCCAGAAAGACAAAACAGCCTTGACACCATATCAAAAGGTAGAATTCTTAAACCTTCTGCTTTTCCCATCACCTTTGGGGTGGATTTGTTCATTCTTTGGGAATATGGAACATGTGCTTACTGGTTTCACATGCCAAGAGTTGCCATCCTAAGGTTTCCAGGTGCCTTTGGAATAATTTCTATGCCATATTTTAAGCATCAGGATTCTCAGTGTTGTTACGTTGTTCACATTGAATTCATATTTCCCTACACTACAATGGGATTCATTTGTCTGTTTTTGGTTTAGGACGATATGCAAATGGAACTGAGGTAAATAAGCTATGGCTAATTGAGGCCAGGGCGGCATCCACGGTGGCATCAAAAAAGTTAAAATGGTAGTGGTCACTTCCACACAAAGGAGCAGAGTTTGGCTCACACAGCCAATACTGCCATCTTGACTTTTTTGATCTCCTCCATGGACACCACTGGATGCTAGTATGGCTTAGCTTGATGTTTTAAAGGTGTACATGGTTCGTTTGTGGTTATAGCTTATTCCTGTTTATAGACCTTGGCTAAGTCTCTAAGCTTTCTTACTAAGCTAAGCTTCTAACCAATCTACAGAGGTGCACAGCAGAATAACTGAGAAAGGATGGAAAACAAACTAAGGATTGACCAGCTAACAACAAAAATCAGCAAAAATTGTTTATCTACAAGACTAAGTCACAGCTGATTCACACAGTGCACTTAAAGTCTGTCACAACTGAGAAGCAAAGAAATAAAAGCAAACAAAGATGGTGTGATTGATTTTAGCTTAGCACACTACACAAATCCACCAAATTTTATCTCATTAAAAACAACTTTAAGAAAACATGGTTAGTGAAGTTTGTGAACCCAGTTTGGCGCTGGCTTGTGTATTTTTTTATTTTGAAGATTCATATAGCTGCCCAAATTACATAATTATGACTCTTGCCTGCATATATCAAATAATATCTCCCAACAATATTGCCAGCTCCCCTCCAACATCAATAAAAAATGAAGTCCATAAACGAACATCTCAAACAACATATAGCCAGAGCCCACCAATCATACATTCCACCTCCCAGAGGATGGGATCATCAACTGTCCTGGCTCAGCACCCTGGGAAAAAGGCAAGTTTTTAAAGCTTTCCTGAAGGGTGAGAGGGTTGCTGGCTTATTTAACATTGCAAGGCTAAAACAAATGATAGCTTTATTAACATGTACTTCTTAGCTGATATCCCTTTTCCTTGTGCTTTTTTTCCTGGAATGAAAGGTGGATGTGTACTGAGCTATCTGAACGCTTTTCTCTGAAACATGAGTAACATGCTGGAGAAGATATGTACACTCACAGTAGAAGAAAAAATTTGGTTTGTCATCCAGATGGTTTTGAATGCAGACAATGTTTTGTTTGTCTTCACAACTGGACGCTGACATGTCTGTGTGCGTGTGTGTGTGTTGTTTGCTTTTAATAAAGAAAGATA